CATTAATTACATTGTAATTTAAATTGTAAATTATAAACACAATTCAATCATAAAATACAATTAATTTGCCATTATAATTAATTAAATTATATTATAACTAAATTATAAAGCAATAACAATTATAATTAATTACATTTAATCAAAACCAAATAATTACAATAAAAACAATCAAATAAATAATTAGAAATAATTTTACAAACTCTTTTGATACAAAATTCTACCTTTATGCATGTTTGTACAGTGATATTTCTGAATCTCTGTTAGAGATTTCCTGGCTTACAATCATTCGTGCCCAGTTCCTATAGAAAACATTAAGTAGACCTTCGCTTTATCAATTTTTCAAAGTATTTACATAAATATATATTTTATTCTATATATGCAAAATACTACATTCATCTGCTTTTCTGTGGAAACCTAGACTATAGGAATTTTTCACTTTTCTTTGCAGGCAGAAACATTTTTCTCATTCTTGCTCCAGCTAGCCACTTTATAAAAATCAACTGTTCCGTCATGCTTATTGAAGCTCTTTTCTACTTACATCTTATCTAGATAAGATACTGCCCAATTTATGAGTAGCTAATAACCACCAATTATGTCTTTAAATGTACATTGTTATGATTTTGTTTTTAAACATGCTCTCGTAAAGTCATATTTTATCCCAAGAGAAAAGTAGGTTATTTGTTGAATTGGGTAACAATAGAAATAGAGTGGTAGTACTCTGCCAGAATAAATAATAAAGACACACAGAAGTTTTTTAAATCTCTTAAAAATGTTTAAAAATATTTACACAGTTTTAGTCAGAGTGTCACTGGGACTAATAATTATTTATTTTTCAGCTAGGTTTTTAAAATAATGAACAATTCCTCTATGGAATACTTATGAGCAAATGAACCTGAATAGAGCATGATATAAGAGAGAGTAGCGTGAAAATATTTTAAGCTCTCTAGAAGAGACTTGAAGATGCAAACAAGAACAATAATTACACGTGTTAAGAAATAAATAGATCAAGATAAAGTCCACTTGAGGATTTGCAGCTGGGGACATTTCTTGCATTTTTGCTGCATTAAATGAGAAAAACATAAGAAATGAGTGAAATTACTTGTTTGTACGTGCATGCATATATCTAATTTATAGTTTTATATGCTTCTATTTTTCATGAAAAACATTCGTCTCTCCTTGCCTTAGCAGCTAACTCATGAATGTGGTTTTCTCTCTTTCTATTTCTTCACCAGTCTGATTGCTGTGGCATTACTAGGGTAACCTAAGAGATTATTCTTATAACAAAGCAGAACTTAAAAATTATAAACCTTGGAAGAACGTTGAGATTGTGATTGTAGAGAAAAGACATATTACAGTAAACAAAATTCTAAAATAAAGCAAAGAAAAATGTAAAGCTGAAAAGTCTGAGAAATCGTAAGAAGACAAAATACCAGGATTAATCAAAACACCTAAGAGAACAAAAGATAGAGATAAAAGACATATAACAAGAATTCTGCCTTCAGGAAATAATGTCTTCTGAGAAGATATATATATATTTTTTTCTTTCCAAGATTAAATTCCCACTCCAGGGCCTGAAAACAAACAATGTCAGAAATGTCATAAAAATTAATTTGGTGTCAAAAAGTAAAGTTTTTAAAAATCTGACAAATGTGGCTTTGAACGTATATGATTAATCTCTTTGGTGTATATTTATGTACTTTAATAAGTATCCAATATTATCTAATTTTAAAATATGCTGAAAAGATAAGATCCTAAGGCCATTGTGAGAGAAATTCATTTTACTGATGCCCATATGTTCACAGATTTTTCAGGATTAGCAATATTTTTCAATGTCTTTCAAAAATTGGCAAATACATTATTTTAAATACTTTATATAATGTAATGCAACAAAAAGTGTTTTTGTGTATCTTCAATTTGTAAAACCTAAAGATCAAGAAAATTTTGAAATACACTATGATATATAGGAAAATGCTGAAATATTATTTTTATATTTTACATGATTGAAATCTCAAAATAAAGATACTTTTTAAAAAGTGAAAAAAGTCACAATTTAAGTAAAGCTGTTAAAGATTACTACTTACAAAGCGAAATAAAATAATAGCTATCAATAATTATTGTCCTGACACAGCTATTGAAACTAACTATACTATTGTATTGTCAGCTATCCACTTTTGCAACAGGACATTTCTAGGATATTTTTGTAAGCTGCTTAACTTCAGTTTCCTAATTATTAGAAGCAGGCTCTAAACCACACAAATACAAACAGCATTCCTTTAAAAGTTTAAGATTTCAAGTAATTGCTATGTCTATTAGTTGACATAAATTATTATAAAAATAATACTTTTGGCCGGGCGCCGTGGCTCAAGTCTGTAATCCCAGCACTTTGGGAGGCCGAGACGGGCGGATCACTAGGTCAGGAAATCAAGACCATCTTGTCTAACACGGTGAAACCCCGTCTCTACTAAAAAATACAAAAAAATAGCCGGGCGAGGTGGCGGGCGCCTGTAGTCCCAGGTACTCGGGAGCATGAGGCAGGAGAATGGCCTAAACCCGGGAGATGGAGCTTGCAGTGAGCTGAGATCCGGCCACTGCACTCCAGCCTGGGGCAACAGAGCAAGATTCCGTCTCAAAAAAAAAAAAAAAAAAAAAAAAGAAATGCTTTCTTTTGTCAAGGTGACTGCACATTCTTTTACATATAAATTCAACTTTAATTCATGTACTCATTTTCCAACAATATAAATAAGATTTCGTTATTTTTGTTTTACATACAATTATCTTGTTACATCTTTTTACTCTATATTAAAGTCATTTTCAAATGTCTTCCTACTTACTACTGTAATCTAAACTTTCTGGAGACACTTTATTAGATTGAATTGGTCTAAGTCATTTCAAAGGTGGCAATTCAATTCAATTACTAGCTTAATGAGATCCATGTTTTATGCTATGATAGAAATAACTATTAAAATAAACTTGTTTTAAGTAGAAATACAGCAAAAATACTTACAGAGATAATCAGAGTAACATGGCTCATATAGTTTATGTGATTAGATAAAAATATGAGTTTGATGAAAAGCTCAATGTATTAGAAAATACTGTTATAAAAATACAGCTAACAACTATAATGCAATAGTTAGAAACTTAATCCACTATATTTTTCATATATATATAATCCACTTATATATATATATATAGAGAGAGAGAGAGAGAGAGAGAGAGAAATCTTTTTGGCTTTGTTCTTTGTCCCTTACTATAATGCTTTTCTGGCTCTTCAGCATAACCAGTTCCTATATCACTTCATGGCAAAATAAAAAATGTCAACTTCCTCGAGAATTTTAAACTGAGTAAGCGTATTTCAAACAATTCTATTCCTTCCTGTATAGGCTTTCCGTTTAATTACAAATTTTAAATAGATTGTACTCAAATGTTTATAAATTTTAGGTACATTGACTATTTGCAATTTATTTCTGCATTCTTTAGATGAATATATTGTCTTCCACATAAGACTATTTTGACAATTTATGGCATGTTTTCTGCGTTTACTGAATTAGTCTTTATGTTTGGCATAATGCCATATGTAGAGAAAGTACTCAGTAATTTACCTGTTTGTCCTAAAATAAAGTAATATGAGAGCTCTACTTATTTACTGTGAAGTGTAATTAATTTAATGCATTAAATTGTGAGTTTCATGATTATTTTCACAAAATACACATTGTTTAAATAATCTAAAATATTAAAAATGTTCCCTAGCAGAACTCATAGAATATAGAACACCAAATGTGAACCGTTAGCAAAATTCCAGGGGTTCAGTCTTGGTCTGGGTGCTCATAGCACGAAAGCCAGTGACTGAGACTATATGTGTTGCCAAAGAAGAAGGCTTTAATTGGGTGCTGCAGCCAAAGAGATAGGAGCTGTCTCAAATCTGTCTCCCTAACTGACTAAAACCAGGGGTTTATATAACAGGGAGGAGATGTAACTGTGTAAGAAAACAGGAACTATGGATGGGAAAGGACACAGTTATGATGAATGAGGGGCCTAGCATCTTATTGTCTGGATGTGATGACCTGGTGAGTTTTAGTTCTTTGATACTTTTTGAGTGGGCTAAGGAACTCTTTCCTGAGGAAGGAACTCAGATAAAATAAAAGTATCAAGCTTTAAGAACAGAAGGATCAATTTCATTGTTTATACAAAAATAACTGTCTATGGGACTATTGGATCAGTTTCAGAACTTTAAATAATAGAATTTTGGTTATCATGGTCTGCCATTGTATTCATTAATTTCAACAAATGTGCCATTCTGTGAGGGATATTTATAATGCATGAGGCCAGGCATGTGTGGGGACATGGTTATATGGGAAATCTCTGCACTTTCTATTTAAATTTTTTCTATGAAACAAAAGCTGCTCCAAAAATAAAGTTTGTAAAAACAATATTTGTCAATAATTATAGACATTTTTATATTTAACATTTGGAGTAAACTTTATTGAGAAAGTGTAAAAATAAAAATATAATTGAAATACATCAAATATAAATATTTTTAATAAGAGACTAATTCATTATGTAAATTTATTAATAAAATTAAACACTATAATTTAGATGAATAGTGTGAAGGATTTCTATGTGAATGATACTTGACCAGTATAAATACAGGAAGTAAAAATGTGCCTAATATTTTGCTTAAATAGAAATAAATACTTGTATCAATTAATGTCTTTAGTATATACAAAATTTCTTTTTATAATACAATGAAGTTTAAATATAAATTAAAAACAACTTTGTGAAGAAAAATTTAAAATGCTGGCGATTAAAGGGTCAATTAGGTCAATTAGAGTTAATGCTAGAATATTTATGCCAAAGGAATATTAAGCAAACTATCGTTTCTGAGCTCCTTGTAAAACAATGGTTTCCATACACTCTATCATATATTGCTCTTATAGAAAAATTAAAACCTATTTGAAAATAAAGCACTGTAATATAAATTCTAAATAATATATACAACTTACATGCTTTGTGAAACTTTTGCTTAACATCATGAATAGTAGATGATTGTGTCACCTGAAAAGGAAAAGAAAATAGAGTTATTTTTAAACACTGTTAATTTGTTTTCTATCCATTTAAGGAAAAGAAATTTTAAATATATCCTAAAATTCTTACACAATAAGAATTTTTGCTTGGTTTATCTCTTTTTAGTGATTACCATTTTGACAAACTTGAAATGTTGCAATCAGCAAAAATATAATTAAAAAAATGTTTGTATACAACGGTAATAGTTTTAACACATTAATTCAATCCAATTTTTATCCCTAAGATATATTTTTGAATTTTCTTTGTCCAAAATATTCAGTGTATTTTTCCACATCTCGTAAAACTATCAATTAAAAATATGTCTTAATGCACAGGAAACTGAAATAATGTATAGCAATAGTACCTGAAGATGTGAAGTTAATTTATATGGATAAATGAGAGAAGTGTTTACCTCTGAATATCATGAGACAAAAGTAACCTTAAGCCCCCTACTGACATTATTTAAATCCCCAAATAAAAGTACTAAATGTCCATTAAAATGCATGTGAGATTTTTTTTTTTATTCCTTAAGTACATAGTAATTTGTCAAAATATTTGGTTCTAAATAACTAAAACGAACTCTATAAATTAAAAAATGGATAAAATATTTTTATTCTTCTAAATTTGAAAATTATTGAGGACTAAAGTTCCATACAAACACTTCAAGTCATCACAATACTTTTTTGACTTTCTGAATTTATCTCAAAAGACATTTTCATGATAATTCAAGAAAATATATTTCTTTTCCCTGAATAAGCATATGATACTAGTGAAATTTATTATAATCATATGTTTACATGATTTATTTATGCTACACTAAAATCCCCTTATAGCTGTTTTGAAAGGGTTAAATGAAAAACTCATAAAATGTTGGTGCATAATAGTCCATAAGATCCATATAGTTCTTAATACTGTTACATTATGTTTGATGTTTTATTATTCACTGAAAGTATAACAACAAATACATCTATTTTTACATATCTCACCCTCTACTTAACAGGATTGTGGCTAAGCATTCAGTATACTGTTCAGAATTGTTTTATGATTTCCTGTGTGTATATGATTTACTAAATAAGAGAGTTATAAGACTTAAACCCTAAAAAGTAATAGGAATTCCAATTTGTGTTATTCTGTTAATAGCAAAATGGTCCTAAAACATTCTGTGTATATAAAATTATAAATATTTCATGGCATTGCTCTTCTCTGAAAAATGTTAGAAAAAAATTTTAAAACAGTTTATAGGGAGAGTAATATGTATTTATATACTTTTGCATATATTTTAATTTTGGTTATTAACCTTTAATATTTAAATTTAATTTTTAAAATATTGTTTTAACAGTGTCCATTGTTTCATCTCAATGTTTCTTATTCATTCAGCACCTTTATATGTTGCTTTTTCTGATAAAGACCGCATGATATTCCCTAGAGTAACAAATATTTGTCCATTAGTCATATCAAGGACCATGTAATTTTAAATAAAAAATAATTTTCATGATCAATAATCCCTCAATTTGGGTTTGATATGTGTTCATCTAGCACTTTATGAGGGCCATTATCTTGTATTATGCATTGGTTGCTCAATCTATATGGAGCTGAGGATAATGACCTAGTATTACTGTTGTTTTGTTTTGTCATGTAGTACACCACAGAGCATACAATAAGTTTTAATTAACTTTTATAGAAGTCAGAAATAAAGCTGTGAGTGCAAACATGTAAAAACAAAGTAAGATAAAAGTTTCTTAATCTGATATGCAAAAGCTGTATGCCATTCTCCACACCAGAATAATGCAATTGACAACCTTCTAATTTGGTATATGCATTTTACTTTGAATTTTCTTATTTTCAAGGCTAACATCATTTTCCTGAAAGAAACCTTCATGTGTAATAGGGATGTATTATAAGCTCTTAACATTTTAGAAAAAATTCATTTGACTTTCATGTGTTAGAAAAGTGCTGATTTTGAATAAATCCTTGAGAACTGCCCTTTCTGCAGTAATTTTGCACAAAAAAAATCAGAAAAATTAACTACTAAACGATTCAGACATGTATTCAGTTAGGCACAGGATTGTGCTTTTCTGCTCTTTTCAGTCCTTTAGTTGTACTGAAAGCACAAAGAGAGGAAAATATGATAATTAACTGAGCATATAAGAGCTTCTGATGACTAAATTGATGTCTCAGTGGCTTCATCAGGGAGTTTAGTTATCATAACCTCCACTTCTTAGTCAGTTTTACAACATCTTATAAAGGATAAACTATCATCGTGATAATTTATTCATTTCCATAATTATACAGATGGGAGAATGTGAAACTCTACATTTGAAACCTTAATATTCCCTTCATTAATGTTTATTTCTCTTAAAAGAAAATGAGTCTTAAAATAGTGAGTAGGGAAGTCAAATGATGGTAGTTAAACCAAAAATTTACTTCTAAATTTTAGCTGATTATAGTTAAAATTTGAGTTATTATTACTTTCTCTACATTTAAGTTGATGAAAACAAAAAAGCTTTTTTCATTCAAGCATTTAATCTAGAATTTGTTTGAATGTGCCCAATATGCATTTACTATAGTTTTTCACAGAAACCTCTTTTTATAATATTGCTTCTTTTTAAAACCATATTTTAGCCACTTTCACAGTAAATTCTTAAGATGGACAGATGTCTCCAAAATAGTGCACATCCTGATTAGAGCAATAAAAATTAAATTATAATGAAAAACAGCAACCACTTGACATTCATTTGATGGGGTTGTTGTAGTATAAAAACCTAAATTTGTCAGTAAACTTTATTAAAACAAAGAACTTGTCTAAAAGTAAATGTATAGAAATAAAACCAAAGTGAAAGATGAACTGATATAAATAATTAGATATAGTGGTGTGAAAATGCAGACACAGATACACAGAGAAATACAAAATGTCAGTGCAGGTTTCCTACCTAAACAGAGCTGTTCTTCAAGACACAAGGAAGAAAATTGCCCAAAAAAATCACATGTTAAGCTGATTAATTCAGGAAAATGGAAAAAAAATAGCTTTGAGAATTTCCATTAGAAGATTTTAGGCCAGACTTGGTGGCTCAGGCTTGTAGAATAAACTCTTTTGGAAACTAAGGCAGAAGGATCACTTGAGTCCAGGGCTTCAAGACGAGCCTGGGCAACATGGCGGAAATCCTATATCTCAAAAAAAAAAAAAAAAAGAAAAGAAAAAAAAAATTAGCAGGGCATGGGGGATGTGTCTGTAGTCCCAACTATGCTGGAGCCAGGGTGACAGAGCGAGACCCTATCTCAAACAAGCAAACAAACAAACAAACATAAAGAAAGTAGTAGATTAGCAAATACAATGTATATTTGCATATTTTATTCAGAATGGACAAGGATTTTCTCAGTAAGCAAATGTTATTTTACTAATAAGTAACCTTAAGATTGCTCAGATAAGTAAGCAATATATGGAAAATAATTTTTATACATTCAAAATGTGTTCAGTATTTTGTAGAATAGCAAGAATTTTCACTATGAATAAAACTGACAGTACACAGTGAATCTGAAAAAAATATGAGTTTTAACAAGGTTTAGATGTTTAAATTTAACTGAATTATACTATGGTTTCTCTTCAGATCGTATAAACCTTTCGTCTTTTAAATTTAACTGAATTTTATTTATCTAAGAAATTGAAATGTTTTATATTATATCAATTTCATTTATTTATAAACTAAATTATTTAAAATTAGCTCCTTGTTAAGTAAAACGATGTGTGTGTGTGTGTATATATATGTGTATGTGTATATATATATATCTATGCATACACACATATCCTGCTTTTGTATCATACAAAATGTTTCTTTTTATATTGCAATAACAATTTGGTTAATATCAATTATGCCTTTTCTATTGAAAAATAATGTAAAAATTAACATATAAATTGATTTTCTCATATTATTTACCAAAGAAAGTTTATCTGAATAATGCTCTTTTATATGAAAAATTTTATTTCTAGAAAATTATGTGTAAATTTTACTTAGAAGTACAGCCTAAAACATTACTGGTCTGTTATTTATGTGTGCGCGTGCACACACACACATGCACACACACTTGACCCTTGAACAATGCAGAGGTGCCAACCCTCCATGTAGGCATATTTTAAAACAATTTGTATTGATATCTAATAATTATACATATTTATGGTGTTCATGTGCTATTTTAATATGTACATAACTTGTGAAATGATCAAAACAGTATTTAGAATATCCATCACCTTAAACACTTACCAGTTATTTGCGTTGGAAGCATTTCAAATCCTCTCTTCTAGCTATTTTTAAATATACAATATATGTTAATTGTTAATTATAGTTACCCTACTATGTTATCAAACAGTAGAAGCTACTTCTGTTATCTAACTGTATGTTTCTACCCATTAACTAACCTCTCTTCATTCCTTCACTGTCGTTCCCAGCCTCTGGTAAATATATACTGTACCTTCCTGAGATAAACTTTTTAAAGTGTTAAACTTCTTTTTAAAACACGACACATGAATGAGAACATGCAATATTTGTCTTAAATGCCTGGCTTTTTTCACTTAATATAATGACCTCTAGTTACATCTATGTTGTTGCAAATAATAATTGATTCTATAGCTTGGTTATTGTGAATAGTGTTTCAATAATCATGAGGATGCAGGTATCCCTTTGATATATTGATTTGCTTTGCATTGGATGAATACCCAGGGTGGAAATCTGGAATTTATAAAAGTTCTATTTTTGTTTTCTGAGACACTCTCTACTCTTTTCCATAATGTCTGTACTAATTTCATTTCCACTGATAGTGTATAATAATTTCCTTTGATCTACATCCTCACCAGCATTGGTTTTGTTTTTGTTTTTCCATAGTAACCATTCATACTTGGGTAAGATAATATCTCGGTTGTTGGGCAAGATAATATCTCATTGTAGCTTTAATTTGTATTTCCCTGATGTTAGTGATGTTGACTGTTATATATCTGTTGG